TGGTCTATTGTGTCAAAAGCTGCACTAAGATCGAGTAAAACCAGTAAGGATATGTTTCCTTTGTCAGCGGATAATAAAAGATCATTTACAATTTTCACTAACGCTGTTTCGGTACTATGGTGAGGCCTGAAGCCAGACTGAAATTTTTCATGTATATTACTCCTATGCAGATGGGAACATAATTGTTTTGCCACTGCTTTCTCTGTTATACTGCACTCTAGATCTAGGTTAGGTTTATAGGACGCTGCACTGCAATGCTGCGCATTTTGAATTTTGTGCCTAATCAATTCGATTTTATTATTGAAGAGGTTCATGAAGTCAATGCTGCTGTAGGCTGATGGTATCTGGGCTTCAGTAGCTGCTTGATTATTAGTTAATTTAGAGATAGTACTGAATAGTAGCCTAGGATTATTCTTGTTATTTTCAATCAATGACGAGAGATAAGCTGAACGTGCTGACTTTAGTGCTTTTCTATGGTCTACAAGACTCTCGTTCCAGGCAGATTGGAAACCCTCAAGTTTAGTCTGACGCCATTTACGCTCTAATCGCCTAACATTCTGTTTCATAGCTCGAGTATGGTCATCGTACCATGGGGCGAGCCTTTTCTGTCTTATTCTTTTACTTTTTAGTGGAGCCACAATATCTAAAGTAGAGCGAAAAGTGTCTTCCGAACATTTTGTCAGCATATCTAAGTTCAGATGGACAGCTAATTAAGGACGAAAGATCTGGAAGGTTTTCAATAAAGCTATTGGGTGTAGACGATGTTATAGTATGTTTAACACTATGGTGTGTGGGTGAACATATATTACGACTAAAACTGATTTCATATGAGATTAAGTAGTGATCTGACACTGCTGTGGTCTGAGGAAGGATGGCCAAATGCTTAATGTCTATACCTAAGGTCAATATTAAGTCTAGAGTGTGGTTACAGTAATGAGTAGGCCCCATAATATTTTGAGTGAAGCCAAAACTGTCTAAAATAGATACAAATGCCTTACTTAGCGGATCCTGTGGTTTGTCTATGTGGATATTAAAATCTCCAACAATTATTACTTTATTCGAGATTGTTATTAAACTAGATAACAGATCAGTAAATTCCTGTAAAAACTCAGAGTAAGGTCCCGGTGGCCTGTAGATTATGATGAGCGAAAATGAGCTCTCATTTGTTCCTCGATTGCTAACATTGAGAAATTGAATTTCAAAGGAAGAGAAACTACGGTCTGCTTTCTGGTTTATTCGTAAAGTATTGATGTAAATTAACAAGTCAGAGATTTCACGTGGACAGCACAAGCAGAGCGTTCCAGACCTACACTGATGTGGAGCGGTATTTAGATGAGAAGCTGAATTTTTCAGGGTGCTGCATGCGCCACACATCAAAATACAGGGAAATAAGCCGTTAGAACAGATGAAAATGAAACAGAAAACCGAACAAAACTTTTAAAAATGCAAATTCTTTCATTCATTATCAAACAATAGTAAAAAAATAGAAGTTATGTATTCTCTGCACACAGACATCCAGGTAGGTCTACCAGACTTGAAACTATCACCAAATAATGTGCCATGCTCTTTTACAAATTCTCATTGTTTTCACTGAGCAGAGTGACTGATTTGACAGTCCATCTGTTTGGTTAAAGTATATTTGTGGATCTTTCTTGCTGCGCTGCTCCACAGCATTAACACAGTATGTGCAAGGTGCGAAATACTAATTAACCTCTTGGACCCCCTTAATGTCTCAAAATCAAAATTCTGGGGGTCCCTAAAATAAACTTATTATGAAGTTATGCTGTCTGTAAAATAGATGCTAACATACGAATTCAGGGAAGAGATCATTGTTTAGCTGCTTTATCCGCAATCACAGAGCTTCTGTCCTTGATATTTGTAACTAAGTAGTGTTGCAGCACTGGTCTGCCTCAGGATGGCGTTGTAGCAAATTGCTTGATCCAGTTGGTCCGTCATAGCCTATCAACTGTAACCATGCCTGGGATACCTCTGAAAAACTTTACAGTATGCTGTAGCATAAATCTAAAACATTGCTAAATTTTTCCAAGAGCTTGGTAGAGAGAGTGAACTGTTACTTGTTTCTCAAACTAAAGAGGAGATGTGTAAGATCTCAGTGTGTTGAAGACTGCATTACTAAACTAGACAAGGCAAGTGAGAAGCCAGTGAACATGGGACCCCCCGCAAATACCTTTGTGTATTTTGCACACTGAGCATGGGTGGCATTTCTGGGTCCTGTTTATATATGATTTCTTCTCCGCATGGTAGAGTTTTAACTTGCATTTATGAATGGAGTGATAGACAGTGGTTTTCAGAAATGTTCCTGAGCCCATGCAGTAATTTCCACTACAGAATCAGGTCTGTTTTCAGTGCAGTGCTGCCTAAAGGCCCCAAACATCTTGGCTAGCCGATACTGGTTTTCAGCCTTGTCCCTTGCATACAGAGATTTCTAAATCTTTTAATGATATTATGCACTGTAGGTGATGAAATCTCCAAGGTCTTTGCTATTTTACATTGAGCAACATTATTCTTGAATTGTTGCACTATTTGCCCACACAGTCTTTAACAGAGTGGTGAACCGCTCCTCATCTTTACTTCTGAAAGACTCAGCCTTTCTGAGATGTTCTTTTTCTACCCAGCGATGTTACTGACCTGTTGCCAATTAATGTTCACGTGTTTTTTAGCATTACACAACTTTACCAGTCTTTTGTTGCCCCGTCCCAACTTTTTTAGAACGTGTTGCTGGCATCAAATTCAAAATGGGCATTTATTAATTCTCTTTTTGGAAATGTGGTTGTACATACCGGGTAAAATATTAAGCTTTTGTTACTATTAGAAAGTTACATCAGTAAATCACTGTAATGATTTGTATGCATTAACTGATTGTAAGCTCATTATTTATTAGTGAAAGGGTTTGTTGTAAATGTACAGGAAAACACCATTCACATTATTTATAATATGAATACACACATCAACTATATGAACTGTCATTTATAAACATTTGTACTTTTTCAATTATGATAAAATAATGATTTGTTTCTAGCTTTTAATGATCATTTAATGGTTTATTAAAGAAAGACACTATAGTTACCTGAATATTATCTCAGGCTGTTTAGCAGCTATTGCTATCTTTTAAAAGATGTAGCTGGGAGACCTGTAAACATGAGATCTGTCCCTGATAGAGTGTCATTTTTTACCTATTTCCCACAAATACATTTTAAAAAAAAATGTCAAAGCAAATGTCTACTTAAATGCACTGCCTCATCAAAGGTAAGACATCACAGGTAAGACGTAAGTACTCATAAACACTTGTAACATAAGTACCCATAAACACTTTTAATGCCCACTATGGCAGTATGATGTCAGTATGTCTTAGAATATGCTGGTTAGGTTAGGTTTTTATGTTTGCTGTATTGTTTTTCTCATCTTTGTACGTCTCAGCTGTCTGATTTTAACTTCATTGGACAAAAGTTGTGCCTGCGGTGAGCAGACGCATGCATTATAGTGAAGGTTATTGCAGTGTTGTGTGTGTTTTTGTGGATCCAGTATTCTGGTTGATTGCTATTGTTTTGTGTCAGGGTGTAAGGGTTGGAATAAGTAAAGTGATCACTGCATTGCTGACAGGAATAGGTGTGATACATAATGCTTGTAAATATCTAAGGTTTGTATTTATTTATTTAGTTTTTTTCTCACTGTGGGACTGCAGTTTGAACTAATTCAGAAGAATGGTCCATACTGGGTAAAAAAAAACAAGTTTTTGTCACTATTAGAAAGTGTTGCAATATGCAAGAAAGGCAGCAACATGCCCTTAAAATACATACAGTACAGCTGGACACTGTAATCTACCAAATTGGCCTACCTGCTTTTTCACAAGCCTATCAAAAAATGTGTTTCTGTCTACACTACTGCTATAAATTGTGTGTTACACAATATACACAGTAATATACATTTGTATAGTAATATACATTTGTATACAGTAATATACAAAAAGCCTGGGTAATCTGAGAAAATTGTGTGTAAATATATTTATCTGGGCAGTAATGCAAATACACAAATGAACAATACATTGTGGTTTTATGTGTGTGTGTGTGTTTGCATATAAAACATATGTTTTAATGTAACAGCTCCTGCACACAAACAGTGCATAATATGTCCAACAAAGAGCTGAGTCTCTGTGGTTTATCCTGTTTTAAATCGTAACTTAGTAAACACTTACATTATCACTAGCCTGCATTTAAGCTTATGTACAGCTGGTGCAGCTAGAAAAAGGTGCCAGAAAGCTAAAACATACAGATACATAGAGGACAAAGTCAAGACAGAGACAGAACCATTACTGTGAAGCATCTGCAGGCTCAAAACAAACGTGATGAGACTGTAATATGCCCTTAAAATGCATCTGAAATGAATGTTCATTCACTAAGGCTTTGTATAGGATCGCAAACAGCTCATAGGACCACTTGTTTATTGTGCACACACTTATTAGGGACAGAGTTTAATAGGTATGTGAAATAATGTAACTGCTTACAATCTCGAGACAAAGAGTAAAGTGAATATTGAGAGCAAAGAGATAGCAGCATTAGTAAATCAAGTTATTTTGCACCAAAACATATTACAAAGTATTATTCAACTCCAGCTAGAAAATAGTAAGCGAAAATAACACAGACTCCATATGGAGGCTGTATCACAACATACGTCTTTGAATGATGGTGATATATATATATATGACTTGTATCTCTGTTTAGCTGCTGTGTTTGCTGCCATTGTAATAAGAAGTATCCCAAAGACATGCCTTTGGGACACTAAAGCAAATTTATGCTTGGTTTTAATAGGCAAAGAAAATTCCACACAACATTGGCAGCCGCTAGTTGTTAGTAAAATGTTAGTAAATCAAGCAGAATGTGTAATCAGCTGAACTTCTGTGCACGGCCCTTTCAGACTCATTAAGTCTACTTGTTATACCAGCTAATGTTTCATATTAATTTCTGTTTCTGTCCCAACTTTAGTGTTGATTGCAATCATTCATAGTGGGCAAACTGAAAATGAAACATTCCCACAGAGTTATGACTACTCAGCAGAGCCAGACAAAAACAATGACGGGGGCTCGTCAAACACGTGGGGTGAGTCAGGTGAGTGTGTTTATCTTTATCTCTTTGCAGAACATTACTTTAGATCAGTTTTATAGATACAGAATTACTGTGTAGGACAGAGATGTAGGGATGTAGAATGATTTACCATCATAATACAAGGCTGGGGTCACAGTGCAGGTAGACATTTAGAAACAGACACATCCTTACTTGAGAATAGAGGCAAAAGCATCCAGGATAAACAAGAGTATACAAAGAAACAACAAGGAAATACAGCTGGTTAAGCATTAACAAGGCTAACAGTTAACCTAAGTCTTACAGTTAGCTGAATACATGCAAGATTTTGCAGAAACACAAACACAGCAAGAGGCTCTAGACACATAAACAGCCTAATGAAAAAATGAAACACTGGTAATAATGATAAGAGAGTAGCTATCTTTCATTTCTTTGTTTATCCTCTCAATTATGAGATGCCCTTATGCTCATGTAATTGTATAGAGATATCAGAAATGCATTCCATTTACAGTTTTGTTTAAATTTGGCCGAAATCCGTCTCTGACCACTTCTGAATGTGGTTTGAAATCCGATCATAATCTGTTTACATTGCGTCCTGGAGGTGTTTATACCTGGTTTATCGTGCAGTCAAGTGAGATCCAAATGTGATGCGATCACTGAAAATGCATGTTGATAAAAGGTATAAACTTGTGATCTGCCTCTTGATGTTGATAGCTGTTTGTGTAACCAGGCAATTATGGTTTAAGCATACAATGTCGATTTTTTTGCCACTGAAAAAATTATGAAAAATTCTACATTGTTACTATCTACACAATTTTGTAGTACCATGTATTTTTGTCATATTGTGTAAATTTCTTATTTTTAATTTTTAATTAATTAATTAATTAATTTTTTATTTTTGTACAGCAACCCAAACAACAGAGCATGTATCTGGTGAGTAGCAACTCAGTTACAAATTGTTTCGGCCATTTTTACTTAGAAATACTGAACCATTTAATGCCCTCTCCTTTACTGCAAAATAATCAAACAAATAAGTAAATAAATATCTTGACAAACGAAGTATTCCTAAATAAGTCATTATAAGATTGTATGGGTTTGACCTGGGTGCCCCGGTCAAATTACATGTTTTGTTGATATCCAAAGTGAAAATAAGTTAGTACAGTCTCTACAGTAACACCCTTCTGCATATTTTAATGTGCAATTACTGTTTGTTTGCAGAATGTTAAAAGTTTGGGGTAAAAAAAAAATAATAATAAATTTGTTCTCCGTAGAGAACTTGACTAGCACAAATTGACCAGGGATGTTCAAACGTTTGCATTTCTCATTATGAAATTGTAAGAATAAGACTATAACATCTATTTTGGTCATTTTACCCGGTGATTTTTTTAAAACTTGTTTTAAGGTAATTGTCCTTGTTTAGACATTTGAAACTACAATTCCATGTATTATTAATCATTTTCATTTTGTTTTTTTATTTTTTTTTTATCAGACTTACCTGTGTGGTATAAGTGATGTGGATAATCATGCTTTTTATTTCTGTGCCTTGAAAACAAATTAGTAGATCTGGGATGCGCTTCCCAACAGCAGGGTTGTCTAACTGGGTTGGTAAGTTCTGTCTGAAAATGTTAGATGAACAAGTGTGCCCTAAAACTTCAGTTCAAACGAATATTCACAACCAGCATCAGAGACCTGAGTAGTAGGACCAACAGCTCTGAGACTACAGTTAGCAGCGTAGTTTCCTGATAGTTCCTGATGAGAATGTCATTGATTCTGGAAGTTTGAATCGAACGAGGCAAAAACATTGAAGTGCGTGTGTTTGTTCACAGTGTTGCTTTTAAAATAATAACTTGTGTGTTGGTTCTCTTAGTTATTAAATGTTGTTGTTATTACAAGCTGTTCTGCATGTGTGTGTGTTGCATTTTTAGAAGTAGTTGCTTTTTTTCAAACCAATGTAGTTTTTGTTTTCATGGCTAAATAAGAATTGTTGTGAAAGGCAATTGGAGTCCCACAGCTCATCTGGTAAAGTGACATGTTAGCAACTCTACAGAGTGAGTTTGGTAATTTATAAAATATAGTTTGAAAGCTTTCCCAAAATAAACTGTCTCATATGATCTAACGTGATGTCTCATATGTGAAAATATGAACAGTATACTGTACAGATGGAATCATAATTTTTGTAAACATAATAGCTGACTGTATTTCCGGGTAGATAACTTCTGTCTAATCATCATGGAAGCAGCTCAATTTGCAGCACAATTTACAATAAATTCAAACACAGATAAAGCATTAGTAATAACAGTCTAATAATCTTATGTTTGATGCTGAAATGTTAAATATGTCCAAATATGTATTATATTTTACGAATGTATTTCCTATTTTCTAGCTTTCAAAAGCAGGTAGAGCTGCTATGAATAGTATTAATCCCACTGAGGGATTCACTGTGTTTGATAACACATCCAGCAGAAGCGACAATTTAGCGAATCCTTTACTCTTCCAGATGAAGATGAGGTTTCCATGCACTATTACTTCAACAAAAAGTGCACGAGAGTATAAACTAGGAAGGTATGTTGATGTATTGATTGCCATTATTACTTTGTAGAAAATCTGAGATAAGCTATAAGAAGCTAACGCTGTTAACATTTATGCTAGAGGCCACAAAAATATTTTTTGTTCATATTTTCACAATTGACAGACAAAAGTGAAGCTTTGATCCTGCTACACATGATCCTGTGTAAATATAGACATGTATGTGAGTGTATGAGCAGACCAGTGCAGTCCAGTTTCATATCAACCAATAAGGTGAGATAATTGGCAAACAAGGTAGCTAATTAGCCAATTTAGACACTTTAGAGTGACTTAAAATTGCCCTGGAAAGATCAATTTAGAAAACCTGTTTCTGTTTTTCCAAAATCTTGGTTAAATAATCGAGATAGTCTTCTCAAAATTACTATGAAATCCTGTTGTTCTAGTGCAGTGCTACCTGCGTTATCCAACTGAAATACTGAAATGTCTTAGTATTCACATATAATAAAGTAACATATTCAGAAAACATTTAGAATATATATTTCTAAGGCATATGGGGAAAACTGCTGTTGTATTTATTTTTATTTTTTTTTAATTCACACTGTTCTTTGCTGTTACTGGTTGGTAGTTTTCTTCATGTAATTGTTCTGTTAATAAGTTTCATGAAACATTCACTTATCATTTAAATTAAGTTGCAACATTCTCAACATTATTTTGGTTCTCATCACTTGCTTCAGTCCACTGCTGTTCCCACAATCCCACTGCTGGCTGTTTCATGAACTAAGCAAACAATTTGTCATATCAGAATAACAAAATCTTGCCATTTACTGTAAAGTGTGTTGCCACATAACTTTGAGTTAATGTTGTATCTAAATTGTCACAAAATGCAATGTGATAACTGATAATCACATTGTTTTATCAGATATGAGTTCAGTACAATACCAAAGCTAAACTTATCACTTGTCAACATGTTGTCTACTGAGAAGACTGTTCAGTTCCACCATCGCTTAAAAGAGCTCAGCAATACTGAGATTAATAACTGATCATCACATTGATTTATCAGTCTACTCAGGCTTTAGCAGAGCTCAGTAACACTGAGATTAATAACTGATCATCACATTGTTTTATCAGTCTACTCAGGCTTTAGCAGGAACCTCAGTGTTTGTAAGGAAGCTGTTTAATGTGTTTCTCTTCAGAGCATGTCTTTATATGCTGCGCTTTGGTTTTAGCTGGATGTTTCTTTGAAATTGTATATAAGTATTGTAAAAGTATTCACCTAATCATGTAAAAAAGTTGCTGTGTCCATAGCTCTACTAGCGTGACTGAACTACACAGAAAAAACCTGAGCACTCTGATTGGCCTAGACACAAAACACATACATGTACGGTGGCCCATAATGAACAAACAAGATGATCATTTAGCCAAATGATGCACATCCCTTTCCTTTAGCACGCACCTGCAATTTAAACACATAGCCCTGGGCAAATGTCACCATTACAAAACATTTTGTTCTTGCCTTAGTGCTTCATGATTTTCAGTAAACAGGTAGGCCTTTTTGGAACACTATCACTGCAAGTGCATAAAAGAAAGAACTTAGCCTACATTCAACTATACAATAGCAGTCCATATTCTACTGCATTTATTTTGGGTTAGGCCTGCAGACACGGCCTAAACGTATTGTGTATAGTGCATTGCTTGTCTTCCCATTGGACTGGATGATGTAGGAGCGCGGCTCCTTTCTCATCTCCTTCACAGTCCAAAGTTGGTCATATCCTTTGGGGGTCTGTATACGGACCACTTGTCCCTCTGCTGTAGCGGGTGACTGGACTTGTCGTACCGACGCTTTAGAGTGAGTCTTTTGTTGAGAAGCTGTGCGCTGACTTGCTGGGTGATCTTTGGGGCTGGTTCCAGTAGTTTGGTACTCACCGGAATAGCTGCACGTGTCTGACGTGACATCAGACGTTCAGCGGGCGAGCCTAATGTTGGGTCACAGGGAATGTTTCTGAGGTTCAGAAGATTGAGGAAAACATCAGTTCCATCTCTGTGAGATTTCTCCATCAGCTGCTTGGCACTGCGGACTGCTCTCTCCGCTAGCCCATTCGACTGGGGAAACTCTGGGCTGCTGGTGGAGTGAACGAAATCCCATTGTTTGGCAAAGTCTTTGAAATGCTGACTGCTGTATTGTCTAGCATTGTCAGAGAAGAGGGTGTGTGGTGTACCGTGGACAGAGAAGTGTCTCTTCAATTTGGAGATCACGGTTGATGATGTCACAGAGAAGGTCGATTTCAAACCATCCGGAATATGAATCCACAAGCGCTTGGTAGTGCACTCAAATATGTCTGTGGCCACTATGGACCATGGGAGGTCTGGAATTGCGTGAAGCTTGAGAGGTTCTTTTTGCTGTTGAGACTTGGTGGTATTGCACGCTACACATGAAAGCAACTCTTCAGTGATGTTTGTTGACATCTTCACCCTTCTCCTTGGCTTTAGAATAGACACAGTTAAAACAATTGTCAGCTTCGACACCATCCACATAGAACTTTTCATCTTTGCATGCTGTGGGCTAATCCGCTGCTACTTCGTGCAGTAACTGCTTAAAAGCCTTTCAGTTTGAATTTCTTTTATTTCGTGGTTTAGACTTGCAGCAACTTTTGTAGTGGTTTAGTTTTTTACAATTATGGCATTGTTGTCCGAACGCTGGACCCTTTTCCGGTTTAGCTGCATGACTATTTCCACAATTACTGCAATTTGTGATGGTCTGAGGGATTGACTGGGGTTTTATCTGGTGCTTTCTGTTTGAAACTGGCCTTGATGCATCAAAACTGGTGGCTTGTTTTGCTCCGTCATCTCGTGAATGCGACAGTTTGAAATAGCTTTGGCAAGCATTAACTCGCCATCTCTCAGAAGAGTTTTTCTTAGTGAGTCACTGGTAATGCCACACATGATCCGGTCGCAAATAAGCAATCAGTCAAGTCTCCAAAATGGCAGCTTTTAGCTTTGATCCTCAAATCACTGATGAATGACTCAATGCCCTCACCTTGTTTCTGATTCCTCGAATGGAACTTGTCTTTCCATCGTCCTGTTGCTTTGGGGGTTGCATATGTCACGAAACTTTCTCTTCAGGCACTCCGGATCTTTTCTGGACTCCGCCAGGGCTATTATTGCTCCTTCTGGCCCGGGCGCGCGCACTTCAGCCGCACACACAAACGAACGCTCCCGTTCAATGGCTTCTGGTCCAGCAATATTGAGGAGAATATAAGCCCTCGTCTTTAGGCTTTTTGAAATGTGCCGCGGCGATAAAAATATCGTACCCCCGCTCGAAAATTCGCCAATTCTCTGCAATATTTTCATCAAAAAGAAGAGGGTCGTTTCTGTGAAATCCATCCGCCATTATATCCAAGTCCCTCATAAGCTAGCACCGTTCGGGGAAGAAAAAAAGCAACAGGTTGTCCGACGAGAAAAAAATTACTCACAGGCGAGAAGTCTGTACTGGATTCTGACACCATGTAGAAACTGGTTTGTCAGTAAGTGGGTCAAGAACCACACTGATTTGGAACAACCCGCAGGTTAAATGAGGAACAGATAGGAACCCGGCTAGTACAGCTGACGTTCCGTGGCTCTACTAGCGTGACTGAACTACACAGGAAAAACCTGAGCACTCTGATTGGCCTAGACACAAAACACATACAAAGGTCCTAGGATGTAGTCACTCTTTGAGGCTTAGGCTCCTCCCCCAATTACACCAGCCAGCCATCTGATTGCTCAGATGTCTTCCTCACATGACTGATGATAGCAAACTGGTATACCTGTGAAGTGAGATACAGGGAAAGAGAGAGAGAGAGAGAGAGAGAGAGAGAGAGAGAGAGAGAGAGAGAGAGAGAGAGAGAGACAAGCAAAAAGTGCCTTTTGTAAAAAGCGCTATATAAATAAACTTTGACTTGATTATGTTTGGAAGAGTTGAAGGCAAAAGATGAAGAGGATGATCAGCAACAAGATGGATGGAGACTCATGAACTGTGAGCCAGCCATTCAGAAGCCTGAAGACCCAAACAGAACACAGAATATTCTGGAGAAACACTGTCCATATGGTCACCAGGAGTCGGAAACAATACTTGATCCTTAAATAGTAATAATAATAATAATAATAATAATAATGTAAAAGCATTCAAAAGAAGAGTTGGTTGAAGCCATGACTCTGAACCGAGAACTGCTCTTTATTGAGGAACCAGGTGGAAATAGGCACATGACCACACACTGTGAGGGAGGTCACCAATAGCCACCAGCTTCACCCTGACATTGACCCCCTCTCACATGCAAAACCCCCAAGTAAACCCACTGCCTGACACACAGAACATCACAACCAACATGTCACACACTTATAACTAACAAACATCAACATAAACAACACAAACAGTACCTTTTTAAATTGAGTACCTCTCTCGAGAGGTTCTTTATGAAGCTCTCTGCAGCAACCAACAGGTTAGTTAGGCATCCAAGTGTGAGTTTTCCAAAGTACTGCTTCAAAAATAACTACTTTGGCACTTTAAAATCTAAGATAATAGTATGACCAGTGGTGTCTCTAGCACAGAAAGCCTGGTGGGGCACAATAAACTGATGGGGCAGCAGCCAACTCATCAATGAAACTACACACAAACCTGATCCAAACACAAACGCACTCCATCAAGGAAATCACAAATTCACAAATTAACGTAATGTGGTGCAGGAATGGAAGTGATCTGATAACGACATTAGATCTCACAAAACCTTGTTATACAGCATCGCATTATAAATCCAAAGTGATCAAGAAATATGTGATCACTGTGGTCTGCAACTACACATCCAAAGCAACATTTCAGAGCAGGGAAACACACTGCTTTGCGGGCATTAGGAATAACACGCATTGTAATAAAGCAAAATGACTCACCAGTGACAGTGACAGCTTTTAAAGAAAAGATGCACTACAATCTTTCATCTGGGTAAACTTGTCAAAAATGTACTGATTTTAAATTTTATAACTAAACATTACCAACCCATTATGTACCTAATAATCAGTGATTGACATTATATATTAATTGACATTAATAAATAATTAATATTTAATGATTTTAACTGAATAATTCATATTTAATTTGAGACCCTTAATGTAGTATCGTCATGAAATGTATACTGTATGTTTTCATTTCTCACAGTGTCACTATCACAAATTAATGTATAAACAAAAAAAAAACACTTATAATGAACATTCATGTTATTCTCTGATTGCTGACTCTCAGAGCATTAATTTCAGTTAATCATTTTTATTGTTTCCCCAGAGAAACCAAAAGCTGTGGTGTCCATACAGCCTGATGAACAGGTGTTTATAGGAGAGACCGTCACTCTCAGATGTGTCATACAGGGAGAAGGTGTCTCTAACTGGCAGTACAGCTGGTTTAAAGATGATTCATCCACTCCTGTCAGTAAAGAACAGCAGTACAGTATCAGCTCTGTTACAGAGTCTCACAGTGGAAAATACACCTGTAGAGGAACAGAGAGAGGAACATCACGCTACTCACACACCAGTGATGCTGTTACACTGACTGTATCAGGTGACTGTGATCATCTCTTCAGTGTTCATTAATCTCAGTAACACAGCAACACAGATGAGACCAGATGTTTACATTTTTTCAGTAACACAGTGGTTCCTAACTCTGTTCCTGGAGAACCCCTTTTTGTACATTTTTATGTTTTCCCTTCAACTGATCCTTCTGATCAGCTAATTAACAAGCCCATATTGAGTTGAAGGTCATGTGAGCAGGAAAACACAATGTGCAGAGCAGGGGGGTCTCCAGCACCCAGTCTGGGATCTTGCATTAATGAAACTGACACTAATTACTCTGAATATTACAATAGTCAACATTGTATTAGTAAAATATACATTTTCAGCATTTAGATTTTGTAGAGAAGTGGTTTTAGGAAGCCTGCAAATTTTAATTCATTCATTCATTCATTCATTCATTCATTCATTTATTTTTTTTTTGTTTATTTATTTATTGTCTTGTATGAATAGTAGCACAGAACACAGGAAATAAAATTGTACAAATACTAATTTTCTAGTTATCACTACATATAAGTTAATGATTGTAGGGATAACCAATCAGTGATACAATGATAAAATAATGGTAACATGTTGTACTGACACTCAAAATCACATGCTGTTTTTCTAGTTTTTAATAAATAAATATGTTAGATGAGTTAAGATAAAGAAAGATAAACATATTGTAAAAAGCTGTGTGTGGTCTGCTGGGAGTTTTTTATTTTCTGTAGCCAGTTCTGAGCTTTACAGTACAGTAACAGTATTTTGTTAACAGGTAAAATGTGATGTATTTTCAGCCTGATTCTGTGTAATCTCAGTATATTCACCTCATCTGTTCATGAGTAGTATACATGCCTGTAGCTGGACCTAAATGAAAAAGTAATAGAACAAACACTTGTGATTATACTGCAGTAATTTAGTCATAATTTCAGTGCAGTTATTCACATTATTCTGAAGAACTGATGTTCTCACCAGATGTGAGATGCAGTAACTGTGAAGCAGGAAAGAAAGAAGTTTGCATTTTACAGCTCCAACAAATTTAGTTTAACTGTAATGACAGCCTGTAAGTGTGTCTGCTGCACCTGACCATTTAAACTCATAACTAGTAAAGAACTGGTAAACTGGTAACTGATTAAAACCGGTAAAAAACTGGAATCAATATTTTAAAGCACTAATATCACATTGTTTCAGTAGAACTACGTCTTTGTTTTGGGGAAAACCCTCTAATATTAAAAAATCTATACAAATGAAAAAGAATGGGGTTATGTGTTCATTAAGCAGATATTGCAATGTAAGAGCTTGTAACGTTTGTAGCGTGCTTTGCTGTTTTTAATTCATAAACTGATCAGAACTTTTTGAGCAAAGTGAGATCTGCATCTGCATGCGGCAGGATGTTTTGAAGGACACATAGGAAATTTATGACTGACTGCTAAAGACACGTCTCACAACCCCCATTTACCCCCTGCCCCCCTTTGGCAACCTGGTGCAGAAGTGGGGAGGGGGGGTGGCTCACCTCAGAACAGACCTACTTTGACCCTACTTTTGACTAACAGTTTAAGGGCAACATAATGGAACGTCATGCCACCCCTTTATAAACATCCTGAAGAAACCTTTGGACATTGCTGAAGTAAATTTTGGGATACTGATAAATTGTGACTTTTGAAAATTCCTTCCCTTCTGTCTCACACCCATACATCTCACTTTCCCCACAAAGAGAGACATCTAACCTAAACAAAGGCCAAAGATGGCCCACCAATCAATTCTGGGTGAGAGGACTGTTGAGACCTCACGAATCCCTGAGCAGACCCCTCGTTGTGGCCAGATACTCTTAAGTGCATTCCTTCAGTATCATAAATTTGGGGTCTGTGCAGAGGCTAGGCTCCTGAGAGCCCTGCTTTCTGGCAAAGTATCCACAATGTGATCTTTAATCAAGTATCAATCAAATGCCTTTCCTTTATCAAACTGTGAAGAACACCTCTGTTACTGTTAACATGTGGCCTTGTCAGGCGTGAATTGATTAATCCCTGCCAAAGGGAATTAATACCTAACTTTCTACACTATGTTCTTTTATATTCTAGTAGTTATTTTGATTCTTGAATTGTAACCCTTCTTCACTGATCTAGGTTGTTGTATTGATCTTTGATCATTCACAACTATGTTCATTTCATCCATTATATAATTTTTCTTTTTCTTTTGTTTGAGAAACAACCCATGTATTTCGTGATCACTGTTAATCTTATATGTCTGCTTTTCTTGCAAGTCTTCTTGTAGTGTTATTAGAAGTAGGATTCTAAAGTTTGTAGCTTGTGTGACTATGTACACTTTAATCATAGAGTTTCTGCCAACATATCTACAGACTTATTGATGATTATGTACTCTGAGTTATTATGTAACTGTTCATGTAAGCATTGTTTAGAAATAGTAGTGTGACGTATAACCTCGCAATTGTCTTAACAATTTAATTCTTTTGTCTAAGTAGTTCCTACTTCTTATATGACTAGAATGGTTAATGATTCAACTAATTGTATGTAACGATATGATGGTCTACGTTAAGGGATAATAATCTGTAAGCTCCATAGTCATTTGTAATAGTCACTATGGAAACAATAATGTTTTATATGTGAAATTGCATGCTTCTAAGTTCCTTTTACTTAAGTGTAACCACACCCAGAATCTCTAAAGGATTATGTGACACTTGAGCAGCATTCAAAGAAATTGCATATTCATGATATGAAACCTAACAAACCAACCAAAACCTTTTTCCCGCCTTAGCTCTGCCTTAGCTCAGCCCCTCAAAGTTCTTTCTTTAAAGTCAGCAAGAAAGAGAAAAAGGGAGAAGAACGAGAAGACGAAACAGAAAGACAGGGAAAGTTGGCCCTGAAGGGAGCGAGACAGCCAACATGTAACCTTAATGAAACTCCAAGTAGAGAAGCCCGTTCTCCTCGTTTTGCACTTTAGCTAAGCTCTGCAGATCTTAAATGTTAGTTGTTTGTCTTGTGTCTCAATCCGTTTTGTTTCATTTACTCAGTAATCTTAAAGTTTTGTAACTGTAAGTTTAGACTATTGAAGAGCTGCATCTGGCTGCGTTTGCTTTTCAAGTTTCGTCAATTCGTCGATTTTGAGAGTCTAATTGCCAACGATACGCCGCTCAGAACCTAGTTTTAGAACAGAAACAGAGGCAAAACAGTGCTGCCTGAAATCCACATCAAGAGCCTGCTCCGACCACTGCCTGCCTCCATCACCAAGCAGAAGATCTGCGTTCCTCACTGGAGAGGCCGCCAAGCGTCGCCGGAAGCCTGCGTTGCCAGTGGGGTCCGGTCCAAAGCGTTGACCAAGGGCTTGCACCTCTAGCGGCCTTGCCTTTGACCTGCAGACCCTTCCTAGCCTGTGTGAGCAGCGGCTTCTCTTCCTCAACGTGGCACGCGCATCAACACGGCTCTGAGGCGTCCAGCAGCTTTGACCTTTGACCTTTGACCCTGCTCCAGCCCATGCCAGCAGCGGCCTCTCTTCCCCTCAACGCGACACGCGCATCACCGCAGCTCTGAGGCATCCAGGTCGTAGATTCACTCGCACTGCTCTTTTGTGGTCTCAGTCTCACTGTGATTTTGCTTTTCTTTATTGACACTTAGGCCAGCTTTACACTAGTGTTAGGGTTGTTCTGCTTGCTGCTCAAAAGCCACATAATTTGGAAAATCAGCTAATCTTAGTACTTTTGTTCAGCATATTCAATATCTCTGGTTTCTTTCCATAACTAGTAATCCAATATTTAGTGCCTATATACCTTTGTAATCGATTGCTTTGTGTTTATATACCTCTATCAATAAATAACCCTTTATCACAGTCACCTCTGTCACGGTGTGCATATGAAAAACTTCAATTTGGTTCTGCTCCCTGGACCATGGTCAAGCCCTCACTTGAAATTAATTAAAATACCCGTGTCTCACGGTAAGTGGGAAATTAGGTGCTTTTGAGGCCTTATTGCTATTGCTGAAGAATTAACATGTAGTTTTAAGCTTAGTACTTTTTTCCATAATATTACCATATCATCACCATATCTGATCTGTAATGTGCTTCTATAAACTGTTTTATTAGAATTATTACTTCAGTAAGTAATTACTGATGAATTACTTAGTAATTAGTTATTCAGTGTTCTGTTACCTGTTTAATTTGTTATTAGTTCTTTGATTTTTACTCATATGTGTAGTAACTACAGTAACTACTGCATATTACACTGCTGATAAAACGATTGTATATTCATATAAAAAAGTAACAAAAGAACTTACCATTAGTTATGATTTAGTCTTGTTAATTATCTGTTAAATAATCTACTGGATTATTATTTTTAATTAATTACTACTTTGTGTTCCTCCCAGTAAAGTGATTATTATCCCTATTAATTATACTATAAACGCATGATGAAGACTAATTACTACTATCTTAATTTCTGTGTACTTCTTTTCGTTTTTTCTTGATTAAAGTGAAAAAATGTACATAATTAATTAATGCTTATTCTAAATGATTCTACACAATAAACCAAACAGAAATAAGGAACAGTTCATTTTTTATTACACTAGCACAAGTCCCTTCTCATGGTTTGGTGCCTTGTTAACGAGAAGCGAGAAGACTTGGGTGCATCAGAGAAGTTGAGAGCTGTGCTGCCTGGAGTTTAAACTCCTTTCAGGGTCTCTGATGGCAGAAAGGTCTAAACCTGACTAAACCTACCACCTGTATGCAGTTCAAGTCTGTTCAGCTGTGCAGAAGAATGCAATGGTAAACCACCTTTGTATTTTACCACTGTACCACATGGATGACTGTCAAAAGAAGTGAAGATGGAGAGAGATTATTTACACATTAAAATCTTAGGGATCATTGAGTTAAAATGGACCGAATTTGGACACTTTCAATCAGTAGAACACAACATAACCATCAGATTTACAAAATATGACCAGGAGAACTAACCCATCTTCAAAGAAAACACCAGGAATTGATTTCAAATGTTGGACATAACTGACAGACAACCAGAAGAACTATGATGGAACTCAAAGAGGTCATCAAAGAAGATTTAGAGAAAAACCTGGAAAGAATTAAAAGCAGAAAGAAATCAAAGTAGGTGTCTGATGATACAGTGAAGATCACAAAAAAGAAAAACAAGACAACAACAAAAAAAAAACACCAAAATCAAGAAGGACAAAAATTGTTTAAGAGAACTGAACTGAATTCCAGAGAGCTGCCAGGAAGGACAAGGACCAATACTACAAGAACATCTGTAAAGATATTGAAAAAATGAACAAACATTTTAAAAGAAGGATTGATTTTCAGGGGAAATAGAAGATCAAATATAAATTTTAGCCATGTGTTGCTACTCTAAGAGATCTGTATGGACAGATCATAACAGTTGAAATAAAAATCAAAATAGATGGAAAAAAATACACTGAAGACTTCTACAACAAAAAATGTCAACCACCAAGATGCTTTTATTGATTTTGGATACACTGAAGAGCCTTTAGTGCTAGAAGATGATGTCTGACAGGTCCTAAGATCATTGCTAAAAAAGAAAGACACAGGAATCGATAATATTGCAACAGAAATATATTTTAAAATTCTGAGGAAGATTTGGTTGAAGTTCTTACCAAATTATTCCAACAAATCTAGAAAAAGCAGATTGCAGGGACAGTTTATATCCCAGTAGAAGAGGAAGGAGACACAAAAGAGTGTACACAATATCAAACACTGTCCCTCATAACACGTGCCAGTAAAATTATGAAAGCGTTTATCACTGTTTCATTATCATTGATCACTGTGTAAAAACACTGAATAATGAAAGGAAAAGCACTGAAAATAAACATTCATGTTGATTCTCTGATTGCTGACTCTCAAGTTATTCATTTCAGTTACAGCTAAAATACAGTGTGTTTTGCTGCTGTTTCAGTATCAACAGTGAATACACATATGAAGATGGATTTATGAAGAGCACTTGCAGTACTTAAGATCTGACAGGTCAAGATAAGATTCTTCAGTAAATTATATTACAGAAGCAAATCTTATCTTCATTTAAGAATCTTACAGCGTCTTTTCTTATCTCAAGTTAAGAAATCTTAACTTACTCGATCAAAGTCAACAATCAACTGTCATGTCTGTTACCTAGTAACCAACCATATGTGCACAGCTGAAACGTACACACATAATCAATCAAGCTAGATAGCCAGACAGCTAGCTACCGTTACTGATGTACAAACAAAACTAAAGCGTGATAAACTGAAGTTAAGAATATTGTGACAGTGCTTTGTGCTGTGTTTCAGTGTCACCGCTCTCCAGTTTCAGTTCCATTTCCCAAACACTTTAGCCGAATGCGCTAAGTTATGTTTCCTAATAAGCAGACAGCTGTTCAGCTCTGTCTCCTCATTTTTCACCACCATCACTGGAATAACTTATCTGATGAGTTTTCTTTAACGCATGAAGGTAATAAGAGGGCGCGGAGGAGATGTAGTGTCTGTGGTTTTTAAAACGCTGTGATAAAACAATACCTCACAACTCAAAGCACCGTTTTCAATGTACGTAATGGTAACACGGTTAAGCTAATTATAGTGAACTGTGCTGCCTGTCACTGTATAAAACAATAGAAACAGACGGTTTATACAGAAGTTAAGACAGCTCTGAGGTTGTCTTAAAGTTAGGACAGTATTTTTGGCTTGTTAGGATGTTTCTGTAATACTGTTTTCTTATCTGGAATTATTGGATAAGATTATGAACTTAATAACTGGTGACTAAGCAGATAAGATTTCAGACTTAAGAAATTTCTGATATATATTACAATTAATTGATCTGGGGATTTTTAATTTTGTTTATATTATATATGCTCTGAACAGTATGCATCTAAACAGTGAATTGACAAGTGCTTACTGAGCTGAAGAGTGTAAACAGGAAAACACCAATATTTACAAAGACCTAGACTGGGAACTTGCATTATTGGAGTTGACTCTCAACACTGAATCTGCGCTGTTGTTCTGTTCTTTCTGTAGATCTACCCAAACCTACACTGACTGTAGAACCAGAGAGTCCTGTGTTCAGAGGAGAGTCAGTCACTCTGAAGTGTGAGATTAACACTTATGATGGATGGACGTATCAGTGGTATAAACAGGATACATGGAGTAGATGGACTGCAGTGTCTCAGTCTGAGTATTACACTGTAAACACAGACACTCTCACCATCAGAGAAGATGCTGTGATTAATGGAGATCAGTATCAGTGTAGAGGAGAGAGACATAACAGACCAACATCATCACAGGACAGTGACTCTGTTACACTCACTGTAAAGGGTGAGTTCATAACTATATTTTACATTCCATTTCATACATGGTTTTAAAAACTAATGTTAGTCAATATTGTGTTCATGAAATATAGAATTTGCAGTATTTTATATTTTGATATTAAGAGGTTTCTGAAATGTTGGACATGTTCTTTAACTGAAGCAAAACAAATAAAAAGTGTTCTCCAAAAATAAATTCTCTAGATAAAAATACTTACCTTTTCAAAATGGAATGTTAAATGTCTGATTATTTTACACTCTGTGCTTTTTTCACTCCTCTCCTCTGGTCTCACAGCTTAATGTGACTAATATTATTTAATAACGTGACTAATATTAACTAATATATTGACTAATGTTGAATAATATGGTGGCTAATATTAACTAATACGGCAACTAATATTAACTATAACTATTATTAACTGATGTAGTGAAAATTAACTTATGTGGTGACGAATATTAACCAATATAGTGACTAATCGTAACTAATATAGTTACTGTGATTAACTAATATAGTGACCAATATGAACTAACATAGCCGCCACAAGAAACCACATGTACAAATGCATTCAATAAATCATTAGGAAACAAAGGAAAAAAAAAAATATAATAAATAAATATATATATATATATATATATATATATATATATATATATATATATATATATATATATATTGTAATGGTAAAACATATATATCACTGCTGTGGGAACAAAACCTTGTATCTCCAAAATGGTAAATTTACAAGAGAAGGAAAAACATACTTTACTTTTAATGTAAGTCAATGGAACCAGACTTTTTTCCAAGTCATTTTGGGTCATTTCTGTTCATTCATCATGGAATTTACATACAATGTAAAGGACAACGGGTACTTTCAAATTATGGCAAAAACTGAGATACAAGGTCTTGTTCCGACAGCAGTGAGATATATAATCTCATTCACGACACGAACAGAAACAAGAACAGATTTGAAAGAGAAATCCATTAAATTATACATCATATTGGAAATTAAATTAGAATAAATTAAAATCAAATTAAAAAATACAAGTTAAATTAGGATAATAAAGTGCTGTTTACATGCTAGTTGTATAAAGGGGGAAAGGAAGTCTTCACTTTGGGTTTTACCCCTGTGAACTGTTGTCGACAATTATGCTCAAAGCTCTCCTCTCAGAGTCACTTATGTCGCTATTTTAAAGGTAGCAGTATTTAGAGTGTGAAGCATGTCCAGATTTTTCCCCTTGACATAATCCTGCTGCATCCTTGTCCTATCCAAGTTGCATCCACCCCCCCTGAAGGTTCAGTCACACCTCCAGTGGTATGCTTCCCCCCACCTCTTCTGGGGTTCTGCCACACTGCTCACAGTCAGGAATGGCAGAAATTAAACAAAGGAAACTTCCTGTCAATAAACTGCATGCTTTTTCCTAGCAACTTCCAAGCATAAAGGAAGTTCTCACTCTGATGTGATGCAAGAAATGCATCGCCCTCAACAGATGTAAAGAATCATAAGATCATGCTAAATGTGGCAAAATCATGGACTAAATCATAATCTCGGAAGCTTAACTGAAACTTTGTCACTGCTTGTGGTAAACGGACACTCATCTTACATTTTACAGTCACAGGGACTCTGTGCTGACCCACTAGTGATTAAATCAAATCTGGATTTAAAATGCCAAACACCCCAGTTAGTCTCCAATATTCATCTTGGCTTATATGTGATATTTATTACTACAACCCCATTTCCAAAAAAGTTGGGACGCAATGATGTGCAAATCATTTAAGCTCTGTATTTAATTGAAAATAGTACAAAGAAAACATATCAAACATTGAAACTGAGAAATTTTGTTGTTTTTTGAAAAATATATGCCCATTTTGAATTTGATGCAAACAACACGTTCCAAAAAAGTTGGGACGGGGGCAACAAAAGGCTGTTAAAGTTGTGTAATGCTAAAAAAAAACAAAAACACCTGGTGGTTGATTGGCAACAGGTCAATAACATTATTTGATATAAAAGAGCATCCCAGAGAGGCTGAGTCTTTCAGGAGTAAAGATGAGGAGGGGTTCACCACTCTATGAAAGACTGCACAACAAATAATGTAACAATTTAAGAATAACGTTTCTAAACATAAAATAGCAAAGAACTTTTGCTTTTCGTCATCTACGGTACATAATAGCTTTAAAAGATTCAGAGAATCTGGAGAAATCTCTGTATGTAAGGGACAAGGCCAAAAACTTGGCCATGATCTTTGGGCCCTCAGGAGGCACTGCATTAAAAACAGACATGATTCGGTAGTGGAAATCACTGCATGGGCTTAGAAACACTTCTGTAAACCACTGTCTGTGAAAACAGTTTGTCTCTGCATCCACAAACGCAAGTTAAAACTGTAAAATGCAAAGAAGAAGCCAAATATAAACAAGATCCAGGAACACCACCACCTTCTCTGGGCCTGAGCTCATTTAAAATGGACTGAGGGGAAGCGGAAAAGTGTCCTGTGGTCCAACAAATCAACATTTGAATTTTTTTTTTTTGGAAATCATGGACACTGTGTCCTCTGGGCTCCCAGCTTGTTATCAGTGCACAGTTCAAAAGCCAATATCCGTGATGGTATAGAGGTGCATTAGTGCACATGATATGGGTGATGGGTGAAGGCACCATTAATGCTGAACGATGTATACATGTTTTGTCCAGACAGCGTCTTTTTCAGGGAAGGCCTTGATTATTTCAGGATGACAATGCCAAACCACATTCTGTATGTATTACAACAGCATTGCTCCATATTAAAAGAGTCCATGTGCTAAACTGACCTGTCTGCAGTCCAGACCTGTCACCACTGAAAACATTTTGAGCATTATGAAATTAAAAATCTGACAAAGGAGACCCTGAACTGTTGAGCAGCTGAAATCCTATGTTAAGCCAAAATGGGAAAAATTTCACTTTCAAAACTACAGCAGTCGGTCACCTCAGTTCCCAAACGCTTACAGAGTGCTGTTAAAGGAAGAGGTAACGAAACACAGTGGTAAACATGCCCCCGTCCAAACTTTTTCGGAGCTCGTTTTCTCTGTCGTAAAAGGGACAGAGTCAGCTTTCTGAGGGACTCAGATCCTATTGTAAATACATTAGTGTCATAAAACGACGAGTGTTCTGTTCCTGTTCTTAGTGTGATAAAATGGGATTTGCTGTTATTGTTCAAACCACGAGACCAGAGCATAAGTGGCAGTCCCAAAAAACAACCCTTCAGCATTCTGTTCAACAATGAATAACAACTAAAACTAAGGAAAAAGAACAGAAAACTAGAAAATAAAACTAAATAAAACAATTGCCAACAGTCTTTACCTTCAGCAGGACTAACTGACTAGTTCCTAATGATCTGAGAGTTCTGCTCGGCTCATATCACTGCAGCATAACAGATAAATATGCTGATCCTACTCCATTAAGCCATTTATAGACCAGTAATTGTATCTTAAAGTCTCTTCTGTAACAGACTGGTAACCAGTGTAAGGATTTAGGAATTGGGGTGATGTGGATTACTGGATTACTTGAAAATGGTGTGACCTCTTCCCTTTCAGCAGAGGCTGGTGGGTGTAGCTCCTGTTGACGATGAGGTAGAGAGCGAAGCTGTCTTACTGGTGGTTGAGGGGTTTGTCTCTTTCTTTGAGGTGGTGCAGGTGCTGATGAAGCTCTGTTTAATAGTTCATCAAGTTGAGCTTCAGCATAGCAGCTTTAACTAACTAAGCTTTAACTCCTTGATGGGTGATTGTGATGGGAGAGGAGGATTGTTGGGTCTCTGAGGCAGTGTTTGAGGCTGACAAAGAAAGCGACAGCCTCGTCCCTCGACAGCCTGTTCAATAGTAGTGCTGATGTGTCTCCACCAATGGGGGGTGGATAAGTTATTCTTGCCTACATGAACAATAATTCACTTCACTGTTGTGTATTCGGCCAGTACTGTAGGAAGCGTTTCATTCAGCTTGGAGACTGTAATGTTTGGCTCAAATCAGACTATGAGTTTACCAGGGCACAGTGGCTCTACCAGGGCTCTTTGACTGGCTGACACTTTTGGTTATTTCTGCATTCTGATCACTGCTCTTAGAAGACTGTAGTGGCTCAAATCTGTTCGGGAAGTGGAGCAACTGAGACCAGTGTTCTACTCTGGCTTTGTGCTGTGGTTTCTGAGCATCAACTTTAGCATTAGCATAATAGGCTATGCTAGCAGGAGTGAAGGATTGAAAGAGTGTGTACTATGTTTGCCATACCATTGTGAATATAGTGATTATGACTGTAAGGTAATAAAATATTTAATTCTACAAACATATGTTCCTTCATTTCCACTGTATAATTTAATTGCAAGTAGTTTGAGTAGTATGAGACTGAGGAAAAAAAAAATAATAAGTTTAATAAGTTAGATTTTAAAGCTAATCTGAATTTTACTTTAAAGTGACTAGGTTTAATACTTTTTTTTCCAATCTCAACTGTACCTGGCAATATGGCACAAAGAGTAATTTTGTGTGAAAGTGAATGGAAAAGAAGCTGTAATTTCAGAGGGATTTATTCACATGGACTGAAACCAATAACAGATTCTAAACACGGAAAGCTGTTTTAATATATTAAAATAACTGGCAACATGGCACGTGGGGCAGTAATCAAGTCAAGTCAAGTCAAGAGGCTTCTATTGTCATTCCATCTATGTACAAGTAAAATTACGTTCCTCCAGGACCATGGTGCAACATGGAACAAAATAGACAGTCCAGACAAAGTGCAAGAGTGTGCAAAACATTAAACTAGAAACAATGCAATAAGTACGATACATAAAACAGACATTAGACACAGTAAACAGACAGGACAGTGCAGCGCAGACACAGCACTCATTTCTGAGCATGAGATAGTGAGAATAAGGTGCAAAGATATTTAACATGCTATCATATGTGGGTATACGCGGTCAGATTATAACATACGTGAGCACAGCAGTTCCTGGGGTAGAAATATACCGTACTGTAGTACAGTACAGTAGTAGAACACA